TAAATCTCAATGAGAAATACATCAAGGAGAAGTTAATTCGATAAGTTTAATGACCCTTTCCTTATAACTTCTAATTTTATAATGGAAAATCGAAAATATAAAAAAGGAATCAAAACTCGTCTTTATTGAAAAATCGAAGAACAGCCCTTTCGTTAGAAGTAAAAAAGAACCTTTCTAGAAAAAAAAAAGAAAGAGGACTGGAATCTATACATTGATTCACAATTTTTTTGAACCGTATGCATCAAAGGCGCATGTACGGTTCCTAAGGGATACAATTTTACCCTAATCACCCGACTTTATCGAGAAAGATTACTTTTTTTAGGCCAAGGGATTACTAGCGAGCTTTCGAATCAACTTATTATTTCTTATGGTATATCTCAGTATCGAGGGGATGAGACCAAAGAGAGCTGTATTTGTTATAAACTCTCCTGGGGGCTGGGTACTACCTGGAGTGGCCATTTATGATACTATACAATTTGTGCGACCAGATGTCCATACAGTATGCATAGGATTAGCCGCTTCAATGGGATCTTTTATCCTGGTCGGAGGAGAAATTACCAAACGTAGAGCATTCCCTCACGCTTGGCGCCACCAATGGGTTTTTTATTTGAGAGAAAAAGGAAGACTATGCCTTCGCCATATGAATACTAAGTAAAAATAGCATGGCACTTCGAATTCGATATGAGAAATTTTTGTATGTTTTTTTTTCAAAACATTAGATTCTGTATCGAGAGAGTAGTATGAGATAAGGGGTATTTCCGATTTTTCTTATCTATCGGGAGTTCAGTTCAGCGTCACAAACTTTTTGGTTTCATGCCGGAGAGTTCTTAACAATATTTATGTTATGAAAGAGTACGAAAAAAAAAAAAAAAGATTTTTTCCTTATTTGATCGGATTAAAAGAAACTTTACAGGATTGCTGAATCACAGACAAAAAAGAAAAAAATAAACATATAAACAACGGAACCATCATAGTATTTTTAACTCACGAAAGGAAGGATGGCAATTTGATTATTTACCCATCTGAGTCTGATAGATTCTAGTTTTCTCTTTCTTCAATAGAAAGGAGGAAGTCCAATTTTCTTGTAGAGCCGTATGCACAAAAGATGCCTGTACGGTTGTTCAATTCTATCTTTTTTTTTCTATTCTTTATCTTTCTTTTCTCTTTGCTTTATCATGCGAGATAGGGAAGCTTTTCTTTTGTTATATCATCAGGGTAATGATGCATCAACCTGGTACTGGTTATTATCGGGCACAAGTAGGTGAATTTATCCTGGAAGCGGCAGAACTGCTGAAACTGCGTGAAACCCTCACAGGGTTTATGTACAAGAACAGGCAAACCCTTATGGGTTTGTATCCGAAGATCTGGAAGAGATGTTTTATGTCAGCAACAGAAGCCCAAGCTTATGGAATTGTTGATCTTGTAGCGGTTCAATGAAAATAACATGGATTTCCCGCAAATCTGTGATTTGAGATTTTATCTTCGAATTGAATATTCTATTAAATAGAGTAATTCATCATCATTCGGTTAGGATCAATCTAAACCAACCCATCATATTATGTATACGATTCAACATGCCAACTATTAAACAACTTATTAGAAATACAAGACAGCCAATCAGAAATGTCACGAAATCCCCGCTCTTCGGGGGTGCCCTCAGCGTCGAGGAACATGTACTAGGGTGTATGTGCGACTCGTTTAGATCATGCGCTGGCACCAAGAAGAAAACTACATTTACAGTATCAATGATCAGTACCGGTGAATGGGATAGGATGGAAAAAGGAACTCCAGCTCATTATTAAAAAAACTCTATCATATCCTTCTATTATTGTAAGTTTATGGTTTCCGTTGGTGTAAATCCAATCCTGAATTTAAGATGATAAGAAATTCTCCATTGGTAACAAATGATTATCCATTAAGCGGAGGAAATCTTATTTAAAAAGCATAAAACATAAAGATTAGGTAGGCCCCCAATCTGGCAAGAACAGTTCAGAGGGTCAGCTACCTAGCAAACTTTCATAATTAAATACCGTTACTGTATAGGTAGATCTGATTGTGAAAGACCTATTACTGGATAATTCATGGGTAGAGCCAAAGCGTGTGAACTATACAAGTTCCCAATAACATCAATTAGTTGATTAAATATTAAATTAAAGTATAAATTAAAGGCTCCGGTGTATAGAGAAGACCTCACCGTTTAAGAAGTAACCATAGAAACGAATGAACCCACTATTTTGATTTCTTTTTTGATTTCTTTTATTTACTAGCTTTTTGATACCTAGGAAAATACAATTTCTTATTTCGCAGTGAAATACCTAAAAAAAAAGAAAAAATCGTGGTCGGGAAGGTTAGAGTAGCCAACGCCATTGGAATTTTGATTTTATACATTGGAAAAATCAGTTTTGTTATTAATAGACTAGGAAGGGGAAAAGAATAACTGAAAGAAAGGCAATCGATTAGTTATTCGTCAAAGTTTCATTTATTCAATGACCAGAATTAAACGAGGATATATAGCTCGGGCGTAGAACAAAAATTCGTTTATTTGCATCAAGCTTTCGAGGGGCTCATTCAAGGCTTACTAGAACTATTACTCAACAGAAAATAAGAGCTTAGTTTGGCTCATCGGGATAGGGATAGGAAAAAGAGAGATTTTCGTCGTTTGTGGATCACTCGGATAAACGCAGTAATTCGCGAAAGTATCCTATAGTTATAGTAGATTAATACACGATCTGTACAAGAAACAGTTGCTTCTTAACCGTAAAATACTTGCACAAATAGCTATATCAAATAGGAATTGTCTTTATATGATTTCGAACGAAATCATAAAGGAAGTAGATTGGAAAGAATCCACCAGAATAATTTAAATGGAGTTCCCCGGAGAATGAACTCCGGGAAGGTAGAAGTAGACATTAGTATGAGAAAATATGCTAAAGTAGTCAAAATGAATATTAGACACGTTCAATTCAATAAAAAAAGATTTCTTTTTTTCCGATTCATTTTTTTCTTACGACACGATACTAAAATCTAGATTCACTCAAATCTAGATTCTTGTAATTATGATTCAAGTGAAGAAAAAGTAAGCCTATTTATTTCGGACTTTAAAACCAGTAGTTCTAGCGGTCGACTCGGTTCTTTCAAATTGTTTCTCATTATTAAGAAAAGGTAACAAGATAAAATACGAGCTTGTTTTATAGCAAGAGTAATTAATCGTTGTTGTTTCAAGGACAATCTATTCACTCGTCTTGATAATATTTTTCCTTGTTCACTAATAAATCGACTAATTAAACTCATGTTTCTATAATCAATTCGATCCCCGATTGAATCGGGGGCAAACGCCTACGAAAAGATCGCTTGAATTTAAGAAAAGGTCGCTTGGATTTATCCATGGTTTGTTTGTTTAATTTATTCCTTATCCCTAAAATCCTATTTCTTAATTCTAATTCATTTAAATCACCCCAAATAGGATTTTTTTTAAAAAAAATGATTTGTTTATTTTCTATTTAAATATATTTATGTATATAATGTCATTTTTGCCCTTCCTTGAAAGGGTAAGACACAGGTACTTGGTTCGCTCTATTTCTTTATCTCCCCATGAATCGTATGTTTGTAACAATAGGGACAGAATTTTTCAATTCTAATCGATTAGGCGTATTGTGCCGGTTCTTTTGAGTAATATATCTGGAAATACCTCTTGATACCTTATCAACACTGTTTCGGACACAACTAGTACATTCAATCCTGCCGTTGCCTCGGACATCTTTCCCTTGGCCATGAACCTCCTTTGGATTTTCGATTTACTCAACTCTTCTATTTTCGATTCAAAACGAAAAGGATAAAATAAAGTTACTAACTTAATCCAACTCTAAAAGTAAAAGATTAAAATCAAGAACAATAAAGTAATAGTAAAGCAAAGTCTTAGTAAAATACAACGATTTTTCTAAAGTATATTTCAAATTGAAGTAATCATTTAAGTATCTTGTATAATACTCTTGCCCTAGACCCTATTTATTCCTCTATGATTAATATTCAGTTAATTCGAACTTGAGCCCGAATGTTGAATCCACTTTTTTATTCTTTCTCTTTCCTCCCTTATTCTAAAAAGGAAAAAAGAAGAGAAAAGAGGGAAAGGGATTCATCACCAATATTTGATTGGATCTCTAATTTTCTTCATTCCTTCCCATGACAATAACTAGAATGAAAAAAAAGGGGAATGTCAACGCATCCGGGAAAAAACGATTAATCTCTATCAATAGACCTGCTAAAGCCCCCGAGAACCATAGCGTAGTACTGGGTGCCACAGAGAGATATGTTTTTAGATCTCGCATTGAAAAACCTCCTTCTTTTGTATTATTTGTTGGAATAGATAATACATATATGATCAGATGCATATGTAGTTACAGGCTGCTTAGAGTTGGACACAGAATTCCTAATTCAAATTGAAATGTACAATAATTCGGGAAATAAGATTTTCCTTTTCTTAAAACAGAAAAAAAAAATACATCCCCTTCTTTCTTACCGAGAATTTCCGAAAATACTAATTTATTTTTACGACGGGTTCTGTATTTATATATTTTGTATATAATTGTATATAAGTATTTTCTATATAATCTATAAGAGAAGTCTTTTCCCTTTACTATTATATGTTAAATGAGACCAAAAAGACAGAAATGAGCCTAAAATTTGTATATATCAATGGAGGAAATAACCATGTAGGAAAACAAGACGAGAATTCTCTACAATTACACTGTGGAACAATTGAAGGGAAGTGGCGCAGCTTCGGTAGCGCGTTTGTTTTGGGTACAAAATGTCACGGGTTCAAATCCTGTCATCCCCTACCTATTACTGCTCAAGGAGCAGTAACGAGAGATCAATTGAGATCGCTTCAAATTGGATTCACAATCTTTGATTTTGATCATGCTATTCTAGTATATGCATACAAAATGTATTGGGGTTATGAAAAGAGTCCTTTTGTTTACAGTCTTATCTATTCTGATAAGAAAGCGCTCTTAGTTCAGTTCGGTAGAACGTGGGTCTCCAAAACCCGATAATGCGTAGGTTCAAATCCTACAGAGCGTGATTTCTTCTGAATCGAATTAGAACAAAAATAGATTCATTCAGTAACTTTCACAACAATCGGAATTTGACCTCCTGTGCCTGTGAATTAAAGAAAGGAGGTCAATCAAGATGTTATACTTAGTTAATCAAGGTCCAACTGATCACCACGCCTATATTGTAAATATGCAGTTACGAATAATCCAGCCAAAGTAATAGGAATTAGACCTAACGTATTCCAAATAGAAAAACTTCAATCATTTTTAGTTGTTTGAAAGGAAAAAAAAGAGGTAATATCGATACCTAAATATTAATCCGAATTGACATGAATCTCAATGACAATGAACAAGAATTGACAATTGTTAGCAATAAGTAAATATAGAATACACGCAATCCCATAGAAGGATTTCTTTTTATGAATTGTTCATTTTAAATATTTAGTTTAAATAAGTCGTATCTTGCTCAGACCAATAAATAGAGCTGAGGTTATAGTTAAAGCCGCTAATAGAAAACCGAAATAACTAGTTATAGTAAGCATGAAGGGGATAAATTTAATGAAATATGTTCTTTTTATACATATGTTTAAAAAGCACTTACCTAAGTTTCAAATTTTGCAAAATAAAATAGGAGGGTAGACAAAAATCTCAATTTCAATTGAAAGAATAAGTTGAATGAAAAGTTTTGATCTCTATCATTATAGGCAGACAGCACTAACAAAGATAAAGTGCCAGACATATAAAAGAAATTGATTCAGCATCTGTAACATCTATCCATCCCGCAATTCCAATCAACCGGTAACTCTTGGGTAAACTATTAAACTAATAAGAGCTGTATCGTCTAACTTCATTCAAAAATGAAACTTTAATTTTATAGAATAAAAATATAAATGATTTTCGAATTTGATCATTTCTTAGATTCTGTTAGTTAGCGTCGAATCGTGTTTGATTTTAAAGCGAACATTACCTTATAAAACTTTTTCTTTTAAAAAATATAAAAAAACTAAAAAAAATAAAAAAAATAATATATTAATTCAAATATTGAATGATGGAGAAGAAGAAAAAGTTATCACACAATCGCTTGAAAAATCTTTTTTTTGTCCAACTAGATTCTAAAACTAGTAATTTCTATTAGGTTCCCCATTTTATCTTTCCATACTGCCCCATCCTTGTAGCTAGATCAAGAAAGAACCTTTGGATCGAGATCCACAACAATGCATCACAACTATGGATTCCAATTATTCTATTTTCTTTCATCGGGCCATGATCTACTACTCTTATTTCTTACTCGACCATTAACTTTTTCTTTAAAAAAGGATTCCAACAACAAACAAGCCCACAACTACGAAAGAGAATTTCTATATCGCATCTACTTAAATTGTGGGAATATGAGATCTCTTTCGTTGAATTGAAAAATTTTCTATTGAATGGAAGAGATTTTACATCAACAAGTAAAGGAAAAAAGAAATTATTTAGTACTTACTTTTGATACTAATTCAAATTGCGTTGCTGTGTCAGAAGAAGGATAGCTATACTGATTCCGGTATACTCTAAAGACGCCCTCGGTACAATATTGACGATCTCACAAAGATGAAATTTCAGTGAATTGTCATTTACTGATCTCATCTTTTACGGAATCGATCTTCTTTGACTGTACAAGAATATGTGGAGCTCAGCATGTCTGGAAGCACAAGGAGAACGTTCGTTGTGATATTATTACCAGTGTTCGATACTGGGTCATTCATAGCATTACTATACCTTCCCTATTCATTGCGGGTTGGTTATTTGTCAGCACCGGTTTAGCTTATGATGTGTTTGGAAGCCATCGGCCAAACGAGTACTTTACAGAGAGCCGACAAGGAATTCCATTAATAACTGGTTGTTTTGATCCTTTGGAACAACTCGACAATTTAGTAGATCGTTTTAGGAGGCCTAATGACTATAGATCGAACCTATCCAATTTTTACAGTACGATGGTTGACTGTTCACGGCCTAGCTGTACCTACCGTCTTTTTTTGGGATCAATATCAGCAATGCAGTTCATCCAACGATAAACTTAATCCGAATTATAGAGCTACGACACAATCAAACCCGAACGAACAAAATGTTGAATTGAATCGTACCAGTCTCTACTGGGGGTTATTACTCATTTTGTACTTGCTGTTTTATTTTCCAATTATTTCTTCAATTAAGAAAACAAAAGAGAATAAATAAAATTCTCTTAGCTCATTCGGAAGGATCTCATAATTTAATTATCCATGACTGTTTATGTCTCTAGCATGACCACTTGATGAAATCTGGAGGAAGTGGGGTAAATGGCCGATACTACTGGAAGGATTCCTCTTTGGATAATAGGTACTGTAGCTGTATTCTTGTAATCGGTTTAATAGGTATTTTCTTTATGGTTCATATTCCGTTGGGTTCATCCCTGTAGTAATCGAATGAATTGAGTTGTATCAACATGAAGCGTAGAACTCAACGGGATTCCCTTCTTTGTTTGTTTGATTCGAAGGGGAAGGGCCCGTTGAGTTCTTAAGAATCATAATATTTTTTTCGTCTAAATGATAAAATGGATTTCTTTTTCTTTTCAAAAACTACATTTTTATGATCATGTTTTTGAAAAATTAACTTCATTGATTTATTCAGACCACTTCCTCTTTTTATATGATAGTATCTATCGGTACTTTCAAAGTTGGAAGAAAGAAGGAATCACTCAATTTCTTAGCTGTGCTATAATATATTAGAAGAAGTTTTATTTAATTAATAAAATTTCCTCTCTTTTTTGTTTGTCCACCACTTCGTATATTATACGTAAAGGGGGTGGGTGTAGGGGTAAAAGGTTTCTGATACATCTGGAAAAGGAAAAATAGAAACCAAGACTAGGAATTTTTAACAAACAGGATCAAGAATCATTACTCTTTCGTTTCGACACAAAAAAGGAAAAAGTTTTCTACACCCCTTTCTTGTGTCGAAGACTGGAAGAACAAATAATCCCTCCTAGAATTTTCTTCCCCGCATTTTATCCCCCGCTTCCTTATGTCTAGTATTTGAACAAATTTGACTTTCTTTCTATTTAGAATAGAAAACTATTGATACGTCTTATGGCAGTGAAATCTGTCACGTAGTAACATAGTCACACTACTCCAATTAAAAAAAAAAAAAGCAGAAATCAAAACTAATGAGTCAAATACTCTTCTTCAAATTCTACATTACATACTCTTTTTCTACGAGATGCTGGGAATCCCTTGTACCACATAGTATGTAGATTTTGAAGAAGAGTATAAATAAGACAAAGGATTTTCATAATTTAATTTTTTTGATCATAAAATAATCGCCAACAAGAATTTGGTTCTTTTTACGAACTTGATATCGATCAATCTGCGAATCTAGAAATTCATTTCGGCCAATTGAACCTTCTCGAACTGTTTCTTTTTAAGAACCAAAAGATTTGTGCCAAAATAACAGATGCCAAGAAGAACAAAGTCCTTGGACACGTAATGGATCTTGAAGTACTATTTCTGCATCTCCCTGACCAAATCCCCTACATTAGGATTACTCGTTAATGGTTGATCAAATTTGATAGATTCGCCCTCGGAAACAAGAAGTTCTGGTCCGGGAGGGATAATATCAACCACTTGACGTTCCTCCGACACATCCGTTATGGTTATCTCATATCCACCTTTTTCTTTTCGTATGATTTTGCTTACTATACCTGCTGCTGTAGCATTATAAACTGTATTGTTACTCTTGCTGCCGTCGGGATAAATCTGACCCCTTCCCCTGTTCCCGCCTACGTATATATAGGATATTTTAAGAAGTGAACATCCTTCTTAGTAGCAGGGTCCGAAAGGAAAATTAGGAAAGGTTATTTCACTATTTTTTACCAGGGACAGGGCCTACCACAAGAATATTTTTTTTATTGGGGCGATAGCTCTGAAAAGACAAATTGCCAATCTTTTCTTTCATCTCGGGAAATACGATCAGGAGGAGCCAATTCGAAACCCCTCCGGTAATATAAGAACAGCCCCCACGTTCAACCCCCCTTTTTACCATTAGCAAGAACCTGTTTCAGTTGCATATCATGAGAATTCGAACAACTGCTTCAAATACAGTATCCAGGAAGTACCGCTTGTGGAACCTCAATCTCCACGGGCTTATTAGCTAAATGGCAATTGGCACATACAATCCGCCCAGTCGCTTCTCGTGGATTTTCATAACCCTGCTGTGCAAAAAATGGGATATGCACTTGAAATGGATGTCGAGTTAAGATATATCTTGAGCGATACGGAAATAGATCGAGTAATCTGTTTCTTTAGCCAAGAAAAAGAATTTCTAGTTTGCATGGTCCAATCATTGATCGCGAAAATTTCTACAATAAATTGGGTAGGTCCTTTAGTATAGTTCCCTAGCCACGATTCTGCTATTTGCTGGAATAATCTAAGATGAATCTTCCCGATGGTTAGAAATGGAAAGAGTAAATACGATTTTCAATACTTTGCTTATGTACAACTACAAAGTACCAAGCATTCTAATTGGATTAGATTAATATCAATGAATCCTTTATCAGTCATTCATTGAATAATAAATAACTACAAGTGACAGGAGACTTAGACGATTTAAATAACGGAAAATCAAATATTTAAAAATTGTATCGAGAATGACTGGAAAGGTGGAAACAAGATAGCTATGAAATTTGATCATTATGAACAAATCCAAAATCTTTATAGATAGAGCCAATCAGTAATTCCCAACCGTGGGGTGAATGGAATCCGATACATAAATCAGTTAATAAAAAGAATGAAAAAAGATTTTACTGTGTCACTTAAGTTATATAGGAATTCTGACCCAAGAGTTAGAATTACAAGTTTTTTATTACCCAAAGTGAATACCCGCTTAGAATAATAAAACAGATGATATTTGTCGAGAGGGAGTGCGAAATCGTATGGATACGATTCTCATTTTGTATCTTGATTAATTGGATCGTTTTCTTTATGGATTCTATCCCAAACTCTTCGAGATGTGTTTCAG